ATAAAAATATTGGTATCGGTACTCGGTATCGGCAAGTACCAAAAATAAAAGTATCGGTATCGGGCGAGTACTGGAAAGTGGTATCGGTGCATCCCTAATATATATATATACATCAGAAAGACTTTAAATAATTTATTATAAATCTAAATATCAAATTATTATAAAAAATAAATACATTAATTGCAAAAGTAAAATATAAATACATATATTAATATATTAATGTAAATAAATAAAAATTGGATATATATGACTTCAGAAAATCAGAAAAAAATGATATATAGATGATTAGAAATAGTAACATTATAGAAATATAATGAAATTATAGTATATTATTAAAATTATTATAAATGAACATAATTTAACATAGGTGTTGTTCATTGTTAATTCATGATAATACACTAACTTATTCATTTGTAAATGTAAATTGTAAACTCTTTCTGTGTTTAGAAAGCTCATCCAAGGACAGAAAAATCATATACCTGTGTCAGAAGTAATTCTGACTTGTGCAAATAACAAAGTTCGGTTTGATCCTGTTTAAATATAAGAAATAACAAATTCAGTGTGGTTTGATCCTATTGAAATAATACCAGAAGCTTATCACATCTAGTGCATTGACATGTTCCACCAGCCCTCAGAGATGGAGGAGGGACGATCTGTGGTCTCTCTGAGTAAACTCTTCACTGAAGTGCTTCCCTGAAATCTTTTTATTTTCCCAGAGCTGATCGTAAAAGCCAACTCGTAAAGCAAGCCATTAACCACCCATCAGTATGGGCCAATGCCAGCATGGCTGTTTAGCATATTTATGAACAGGAAGGCTTGGGGAAAAAAATACAACATACAGTGGGTACGGAAAGTATTCAGACCCCCTTAAATTTTTCACTCTTTGTTATATTGCAGTCATTTGCTAAAATCATTTAAGTTAATTTTTTTTCCTCATTAATGTACACACAGCACCCCATATTGACAGAAAAACACAGAATCATTGACATTTTTGCAGATTTATTAAAAAAGAAAAACTGAAATATCACATGGTCCTAAGTATTCAGACGCTTTGCTCAGTATTTAGTAGAAGCACCCTTTTGATCTAATACAGTCATGAGTCTTTTTGGGGAAGATGCAACAAGTTTTTCACACCTGGATTTCGGGATCCTCTGCCATTCCTCCTTGCAGATCCTCTCCAGTTCTGTCAGGTTGGATGGTATTTAAGGGGGTCTGAATACTTTCCGTACCCACTGTATGTGTACACGCTTATTCAGGGAATTAGATATTTTACACAGTGAGCACGTCTCCACTGCCAGTGCATCCATGCATGCACACACACACGTCCAGACTTAACATACACACATTTGTTTGGATGGTAAACTGTGAAAAACTGGTAATGAGTGAATGGATAATGCACATTGACAGCCCACACTCAAACATGACAACATGGTGTCTATGTTTGGTTCTGAGATTCAGATTTGTGAGAAGCATTTCTCTAATGAAGGACCGATGATTACCAAATAAAGCTTCATTTTTATGGTGCGGTCACACAACACTTTTTGATCCATTGACTTGCATTCATACCAATGTGAATGTGGGAGGCAGGAAACGCAAGCTCATACGAATTTCGCTATGTTCCAAAAGTTCAACTTTGCCTTGCGAATTCATATCACATAAAGACGTGTGACCAATAAAACACAAATTCATCACCGTGTCACCGTTTAGCTGAATAAAAAACACAAACTTTAAATCTGCAAGATTACCGTAAAGTGGAGTAGATTGCATAATTTTACATTCTGATGTATTATATGCTAAATTTACTTGAATTATGCCACAGCAGAGTGTGGCGTCATATTACGAATGTTGCTGTGTAAATAGAATTTTTACAATTTTATACTTTAATTTTAATTTGATTATTCATACAAATAATAATACATTACATACAATAACAAATCGTTACATTTTTCTGTAGCCCTTTTCTCAGACTTAAATTACTTTACATTCTTCAGCATATAATCGGATTCATATATACAGAGAAGAGCTGAGAGGGGAAGAGAGGGTTGTTTGTGTGTTTGCAAGAAAATAGGAACTATGTAACTAAGAAATGAGCATTATTAGAGCAAACAGATGATTCTCATGCTAAGTTGTGAAAGGAGAGGAGAGCAGGGTGAGAAACACCTTCATCCCTCCTACTTTGTCTTTCCTGCACTTGTGTCAGACTGCAGTATTATCCCCGATGGGCTTTAAAAAGCACTTTCTGTTCTGCAGAAATGGTAATGATGATTATGATGTCATGATGGCTTTAACTCTCTTTGTCTCTCTGTGTCTTTTTTACTCTGTCTCTGTCTGTCTGCAGAGGATGAGTTGTAGTTATCTGCTATGTACCATCCTTCTCTTCGTGGCCGTTCTGCTCGCAGTCACAGTGACGGGAACCATTCTTCTTATGAACCACTACCAGGCTCCCCCCATGTCGGATGGCCCGCCTCATATTAGCACCAATCAGGACGAAGCCAATGCTTTGGTGACAGTCGAGAGGGGTGATGGATCACGCATCAATATCTTCATCGACCCCAACTGCCCTGATTATAACAGTAACTTCCTGCGGCTGGAAGGCGTGCAGACGTCTTTGCTGCACTCACTCACCGACCACGATACGGATCTCAAGTCCGTCAAAGGTCAGGATCGAGCGCTATTGGTCAACTTGGCAGAGGAAGTTGCTAAGCTGTCTGCTCATGCAGGACAGCTGAAGATGGACTATGAGTCTCTCAGAAGAGGACAAAGCAACCTGGGACAGGACCTGAATACACTGCAGACTGAACAGAGCAGACTTATACAGGTAATGGCATGCAGATGCACACATATGCAGAACAGCTGCGTCTTCAGTTATGCATGTGTATAGTTGGCATGGCATGTCCTTTTTTTTTTTTTTTTTTAAAGATTTTTGGTTAAAATGTACAAAAAAAGTGTATATCTTTGGTTCTATTACAGGAGATTTTCACCATTTTAAATCACCCTTATGTCTTTACTAGCTCATTTTAAATGCTGTGTGATGAATTAAGTTTTGGAAGTGCAATCAAGTAATTGAATCAATTAATATGTGGCCATAAAAAGACACCTTAAAATAAAGTGTTACCAATAATAAAGAAAAGCTAAATGCTATTCAGAATAGTTTTCACTGTAGTAAACTTGTTAAACATTTTAGAGTGAAATTACATTATATTTCACTGTAATTTCACAGTGGGACTTCTCCTGTATCTAACTGCACTCTCGGAAAGTTCTTGTAAACAAACAGCATCATACAGTCTTTCTACAGTGCATATGTACTATGAAGGCACCAATTCAATGCAGCATGAATAGATCATGCTGTAGAGTTTTTAAAATTCTTGTTGGTTTTATTTGTGCTATTAAAATGTTTTTTGGTTCACTTTTAGAAATGTGTGTTGTTTGTTTATTTTGTAATGTTGGTTTATGTTGTAATTGTTGTTTTTATTTGTTGAGTGTGACCATTGTTGTGTTTTGTATGTCGAGTATTGATGTCACATTTTTCAAAGACGTATTTCAGCAGTTGCTTCACTATTGTGAAAGATCTATCCACAAACAGTTATGAATATGAAATAAGTTTTTGGTTAATCTTCATGCTTAAATAATGCTAAAATAAAATGTTCATGTTCATGCTAAGAATAGTTCGACTAACTAAAAGTCAGGCAATTCGCTTATTTCATATTTCTAGCTTGTCATCATTTTGACAAATATTTTCATTCTGACATGTCTAGATCAGCAATTTGAATATGAATATACAAGGTCCAAGATCCCAAACAAATACTAATCACCATTATGGTGACTTCAAAACAATTACAATAGTAAACAACTAGATTTTTCACAGTGGCACAGTTAAAGGCAACTTTATAATGTGAATTCACAGTAAAACAAGAGCAGTAAATAACTGTGATGTTAGTATCATTCTGTTAGTATGCATTCTGAAAGTGACCCAGCATGCATTGATTTCACAGTAAATTTCTGACTACAGTAATTTATTGTAAAATAGTACTCTTTGATCCTGTAAATTCCTGGCAATTTTTTACAGTGTATACAGTGGGTATAGAAAATAATCTATACCCCCGCCCCCCTCCCACACACACACATTTTGTTACTTTGCAGCCTGAAATGAAGATGGACACAGTTTTTGTTTTATCCAGATGCATTTACACAGTGCAACTTATAACATCCAAGTGAAAGGTATAACACCAACATGTCAGAAAACAAAAACAGAATCACTGAGTTCGCTGAAAAAAATCACTGAAAAAGGATCACCCCCTCCTAAAAATGACTTGTAAACTCAATCATGTGTATCATGTGTAATCACCTTCTCAATGGCACACAAAGCCATTTGACTTTCAACTCTAATCAGCTGTGGTCATTTTGATTAGCTCAGCATGAAAACAGTTTTCCTGGAGCATTTCAGTCCTTGGTAATGCAACTGAAGCAAACAATCAACTAGGCACTGTTAAAAGATCTCTGGCATAAAGTTGTGAAGTGACGTGTGGCCAAGTATGGTGACCCATACTCGGAATTTGTGCTCTGCATTTAACCCATCCAAGTGCACACACAGTACTGAACACACACCTGGAGCAGTGGGCAGCCATATTGCTGTGGCACCTGGGGAGCGGTGGG